GCTGAAGGGATGACAGTAAGAGTTCTTCTGCAGTAAATGTATACACATGCTCTTATTCATCCTCTAAAGCAGTTGTTATAAAACTGAAGGGTTGCCAGACTTAGCCTTTCTCCTAAAAAATTTTTCATGTGAATAACTGGACAGCTTTATTTCTCTGAAAACCATGGGCGCCGTTAGGGGGGAGAAAGTTAGGACGATTCTAAGGGCCCACGAACTTTGGGAGCCCACACAGACTAGCTTTGGATGAGGTAGAGGGCCCAACTTCAAATTTTTTCATAGGGCCCAACACTGCTAGCGGCGTCCCTGCTGAAAACTACCTAAATAAAACAGAGAGAGGAAAAAAAAACCTTTGGTTGAACCGATCATACAGCAGTGGCTGGAAAGATAAATCTGAGAGAACTTCTTTTACTTTTGCTAACGTATTCCAAGTTAGAGTAGCAAGTTTTTAACATTCAGAATTTTTACAGTGCTATATAAATAAGCGAACACATTGTCCAAATAACAGAAGCTTGTTTAATACAACTCATGACAGAGTAAAGTGAAATATGATTCAGTGACATTTGCTTTATGTACCTTATGTATCTGAACTGTTCTCACCTGTAAACCAACACCAAGTGTTTAGTTACTTCTATATTGATACAAACCGTTGCTATGAGCTACCCATAATGGCTATAAGTAAGCAGGTACTGCACTTTTCCTTTCAACAAACAGCAAATGTACCGCTGAACATTTTCACAGTATAAAATCTTTCTCCAGCAGCCAGACAGATAGTATGTCAAACTTTAGTTAAATTTGAGTTCACTTTCATTATTCTCCAGTCTCTTTGGAATGCAGTACAGTCAGAGAACCTCTCTCTCCGCCGACTCTATCTCTGGATATATTGTAGTCCCTAGAGGGTTGCAGTATATTCCAAGTGTTATACATGAAAAGAAAGAAGCATAACTCAGTCTTGGGACTGTTGAGCTGTTAGAGATGCACAACAGCAACAAATAAAACAGACACTGGATTAGAACTGTTTACATCAGGAAAGGCTGAAAGTGGAGGAAAGCTGAAGTACTGGTAAGAGCTGACGGTTATTGCAGTCCCACAGACAAGCACCCAGAGCAGTGAGGGCTTAGGATGCTTCTTGTGCTTCTACACTGTTAGGAAGACGGTGCTGCGGGGTGGAGCTGCACCACCTGCTGGTCACTCAGGGTATCTATCATGAGGAGGTTTCCTGGCTGGACACGTTCCCATAAGATGCCACTTCCAACTTGTGCCTACATGGGGTTTGAGCATTACCTATTTGCTCTGTTCTGGACATAAACATCAATTTTAAGTCATCCTGAGCTATTCCAAGTAAATAAACTAGTCAGTCATAATTTTATCCATCACAGTACCTTTCTGCTGCCTGAAAGGCCAGAGGTTGTGGTCAGTGTCTCACTGGACAGGGCAGAGTTATCAGTTCAGGAACACCTGTTTACTCCCATAATAGTAAAATATTAAAAATAATAATGTTTTATTGTTTATATTATTAATACATTAAAAAATTCCCCACTCGCCCCCCACTTTGGGGCGGTCTCGTATTCCTTCCTTCAAGCTCGGGTCCTCTACCACAGGCCTGGGAGCTTGAGCTTGGAGCTCTTCTGTTTGTCCACCACTATTATGTCCGGTTGGTTGGCCATTACCAGTTAGTCAGTCTGTATCTTGAAGTCCCACAGGATCTTAGCTTTGTCATTCTCAACCAGCTTTGGAGGTGTATCCCATTTTGACTTTGGGACTTCCAGCCTGTACTCAGCACAGATGTTTCTGTACACTATGCCAGACACTTGGTTATGGCATTCCATGTATACCCTGCCTGCTAGCATCTTGCACCCCACTGTTATGTGCTGGATTGTCTCAGGGGCATCTTTGCACAGCCTGCACTTGGGGTCCTGTCTGGTATGGTAGACTCAGGCCTCTATTGATCTTGTACTTAGAGCCTGTTCTTGTGCTGCCAGGATTAGTGCCTCTGTGCTGTCTTT